AATTATTATATATTCAGTACATTCCCTTTATGTCAGTACATCAATTGTGTTTCAGTTGAGATTTAGCATTCATTGTCATACTCAGGCAAGTCTGTCTTGCCTTCTCATCTCCCATACTCAATATGTCTCTTTAAACTTGGCATTTCTAGCAACCTCTCCCAGCTAGGTTTTAAAAGTAGATTCTTCTATCTGCTCAATACGCAAGAGAACAGTATATAATTTTCTGGTTTATGTACAACATCTGGCACTGTAGAAAGAACCATTGCAAATCTTACCAAGGCAGGAAAAAAAAAAAAAAAAAGCTGAAAAACCTCCTGTATGGAAAACAGCTTTCCAGCACTGGGTATAAAACCTATTACATATTATATGAAAGGTTAGCAGACTTCCTGGCAGAATATAGTACAGTATGTGGGATTGCTGTATGGAAACAAGAGCAATGAAAGAGAGAGGGCCTTCCATCAAACACTAAATGATGAACCTCAAGCTGCTTTTCTCTGCGCTAAATAAAAAATGTCAAGAGAAATATGGCAGGAGTCTACACTTCCTAATGTTAGTATTTTGAGTGATAGCCTACACAAAGCATCTGCAATAAAGTAACCTTCCTGATTTAACTGGCGAACAAGCTGAGGGTACAAAATTTCCCAAAGCATCAGAATGACTTAAGCAACCACGCTCCATTTATAGCACTGACTTAGGCATTTCAGAAACTATGCAGCACTGACATTCAGTGACCCTAGGGACAAAATTTAAATATATTTAAGCATTCAGAAACACAGTTACCTAAGCACTGGCCCTCTTAACAATCCCACAAGAAGCATATGACAACTTGGGGCTTCCATGTGAGGTTATGAACTCCTACTTTTATCAAGCCCCCAACTCCAGTTAGAGGGTTATTAAATTAAGATGACTCTCTGTACAACTACAATCTTAAAAAGGGGAACTATGATGGAGAAGTTCACCTTTACAATGGCAGCACATGACAAGGGCATGCAACTGCCAGTTGAGACTGTGCTGGGAGTGATTTTACAGTAGCATTAGAAACTTCATTCAGTTGTTCAAGCAGAAAGCAGACTGCCTGAATCACAAAATCACAGGATCATCTAGGTTGGAAAAGACCTTGAAGATCACCTAGTCCAGCCATTAACCTAACAATGACAATTCTCAACTACATCATAACCCTAAGTGCTATGTCAACCCGACTCTTAAACACCTCCAGGGATGGGGACTCCACCACTGCCCTGGGCAGCCCATTCCAACGCCTAACAACGCCTTCTGTAAAGAAATGCTTCCTAATATCTAGTCTAAACCTTCCTTGACACAACTTGAGGCCATCGAGGGCCCAGTGAGGCAGAAAGAAAACTTGGGTCCCTGGTTGCACACTGGTAGACATTCCTTCCTCATGGACTCTGGAGAACAAAAGTAGGATGAGAGAGCATTTGTCTTCCACTGACTTTTATTTGCTTGAACTTTGTTAAGAAAGCAGTGTTGCTTTAGAAACCTTTGCATAAAATTCTAGCTCTTTGGTTGTCTATCAATGCTCAACTATCACATGCATCTTGAAGAAGCAAACTCTTCAGGAGGAGTCTGGGAAGGAAGTACCTGAGATACTGTCAGTATCTGAAGCCAGAACTAGTCATGAAGCCTAGATAATTTTCAGGTTGTTTTACAGCCCCTGTCTGCAAAAGCACGAGGTAGAAATCAAATATCTACAAAAACTTGTCCTACGCATTTGTTGAAATAATAGACAAAATTAACTTGGAACATTGCCATGCACTTATGTAAAGTCACGACACGATGTGGTTACTTGTCAGTACTGATATTTATTGAAGTGGAATAAAGCACTATTCATGAGCTAAAAGGCAACCAAGTGTTTTATTCAGAATTAAAATGCTTTTTCCAAAGAAGATGGCTTTTCCAAAGCAGTAAGCACGGGGCCAGTTCTGTTTCCTTTAACGTCAGAGGCAGCTTTTGAAAACAGCAGTCCTAATTTGAACCACTATGCTGGTTGTTCAGGGCAACCCCAGTCTGGTAAAACAGCACTGTCTCCCCAAGAGATGAATATGGGTAGGCAAAGATGAGTAAGGATAGGCACGTATGGTGGCACAAAAACCAGGAGCTTGGGTGCAAGAACAACTAGGGATTGACAAGGCTCTCCTGGTTATCTTGGGAAACCTTTTCCCATTGTGAGTAAGCCGGGGGAAACCTGGAGAAACTCTGTTGTGATAAACTACATTTCAGAGGCATTCTTCACAGAGGACGTCCAGGACCATCAGTGAAATACCAGTAGGACTTTTAATTACAATTCCACTATGACTAAAAAAATTTCTTGTCCAGCACCATTACAGGGACTATATATTACCCCCAGGCCTCCACTCTGTCCAAATTCAGCACCACATATCTGGAGTCTAAACATTTTGGTTAGACTAGCAATTTAATCTACCATGGCCATTTTCTTCTAAACACATTTTCACTGAACTATTACTGTGTTTCACACCATTACAATGTAAATTACAAGGGTACATGATACATGTAGCTGGTATTGAGTTCAAAATGATAATGTTAAAGAGAATGAGGTACTATTGCATATGTCTCATTACCAGGCCATATGACCAACCATAGAAATTTCTAGGAGGAGCAGCCCTACAAAGATGATGACAGTCAGCCCAATGTTTGGGGCATTGCTACTCAACAGTAATGCCAGCCCAGATTCAAAACCTTTCTGTGATGTTTCAAAATGTATCTTGCAGATTGCTGGAAAACCCATTCCTGGCTCTTCAGTGTCCTCTTAAGAGGTGACAGAATCACCAATATTAGTAAAACCAAAGCAAGTGGCTAAAATCAGGGAGTCATAAGAAAGGAGTGCACCTTGAAATGAACCCACTAAGACTTCCATGTTAGCTATCAAAGTTACTGCAGCTGCACCTTTTTTAACCTTGAAACTATAAATAAAAGTTGTAACAAAATATTTTTGAAAATGTTCTTTTTCCCCTAACATAGTAAGGCCTACTTCAACACAGATCTCAAATTCTAAGCTTCCATTCAGGTTCAACTCCATCTAATGTACTCTTCAAGGAGTTCAAGTCAGTAATGGATGTATCTATCCAATACTACCCTCTTGCAACCTCACACCCTCTTCCATTCTTCCTTCAGTCTATTAATCAGCATCTAATTACCTATATTCCCAGTTTTAAAAGTTTGCAGCAGACACTGATAATACTGAGAGGCAACACATAATGTTACTCTGTTGAAAGATCTCTTTTCATGGAATTCCCTTTCTGAACGAGTGTGAATCCAGATTACATCCAACCCCTTCACACATCTCCATGCAGTCCATGGCTCCTGGCCATGATTTGACAATAAAAAGCATTCAGTGTAACAATGGCCTATGCTCTGCCAGCTGCTGGCTCCTACTCCTGTACCCAAGATGTCATCTTCTTGGCCAGGTCTGCAAAGACTGGGAAAGGGACCCTGCTGCAAACAGGGATCAGTGAACAGGTTTGGGTCTTTAAGAAACTGCTGCAGAGCCAAGAAAGAATAGCCAGAAAGGGGCAAGGCAAACCTTGAAATAATATTTGCTTCTTTGTAACATGAGAAAATAGCCACATTTTTCTGCCCAAGACCAGACATTAAAGGTGATTCATGATCTATCTGTATAATCTTTCTTCTCATTAACAGTAATGGCCTACTTTTCCACTGAAAGAAAAGCTAAAGCTAAAACAAAAGTTGACTCCTATGCATCCCGAATTTGCATGCAACATCTCATTGTTTCCAACTGTACAAAGATGAATACCCAGATTGGCCAACTATTCCCAACTGTCTATTCCCAGTTGTCTGTCTTCCAGATCATGGAGGATGTGAAAGAAATCTCTGACTCCAGCTGGGACCACTACTCCTTGGCCTGTCCACAGGGCAGGGAGAATCTAGGTACTGGAGGTTGCCCACATTATCTCACTTCTATCAAGCTATATGGTTTGAAATAGAGTACCTTGGAAATAACAGTACTCCTTTAGGCTTTGTTCTTTCATTGTAAAATAGTTTCTGATGTTATGTTTCTACTAAGAAGTCAGCAGCCAACTATCAAGAAAGGAAAATTAGTCAAAGACCTTTGCAGGAGCCCCACACTGATCCAGCATGACACATACTCAAAGAGACTGTTTCTGGAGCCCTTTGTGTCTTATCTCAGTTCTCATGAGCTGTTATGTTGGATTACATTACCTACAGAAGCAAAGAGCAACACTGAACTCAAATGGGACAGCCTCTTCTCTTTACAAAGTGCTAGCAAGACTTTCAAACTCAAAATAAAATTAAACAGATTCAAGCTATGTTTCTTTCCTTGTCCTGATACACCCTTCCACAGTATTTTCCAGTAGACTGATAACAGTTTTAAGAGTTCCACTAGTGTTTCTAGGTAACTGTACAATAAGTCTACCCATTATTTTCCCTCTCTGTACTGACTGTTCTAGAGTCTTCAGTAGAGCATATAATCGTATCTAAAGCCTTGGCTGTCCTTCTGATACATCAGAGTATTAGAACAGGCAGGTATTTGGTCTCTAAGCCCTTTTGAGAGCAGGTTTTATCAGCAGCCATTCACTGGAAGTCATAAAGAAAGCAGCAGGCAAACAGAAGCAGGAAAAAAGAATGCTGCAGAAGCTGCATGGGTCATACATATAGCCACTGTTAAGATAACCACAAACCTAACCTCCTTGTTTTGATGTGGGGCTGCCCAAGGACCCAGAGCTTTATTCCATGTTTTAGAGCATGTCCTCTTCTTCACTTCCAGAAAGGAAATTTGAACTGAATCTATGGAGGCATCTGGGCATTTAGCAATCTTCAGACAATATCTAGGAATGAAAGCAGCAATGAATTTATCTAAAAATCAACTAAATCCTCACCCTCCCCTGCAATTCCCCCTGTAGCATTCACTGAATAATTTGCAATTAAAAACTAGACAGTCCACAAGTTTTCTAGTTGTTCATTTACAAAAAGACACAGGGCACCCATTTTAATGCTGCAGTCAGATTTTAATCAAATATTAATCCTTAGAGGTCTTTGAAGGGAGGAGATATGCTCTCTTTGACAAGCTTATTCTTAAAATAACTTTTTTGCTTTAACAGTTAACAGGTCAAACAAGAATGCAGCAGGCAAGTCATGGATTAAATAGTACCTTCAAAATATAGGACTCAGCGACATCAAGCAAGAGTCAGAAAGCACAGGCTGAGGGGGATGGACAGTAATCAGGACATGCATTAACTTTTAAAGTTTGCCATTGTCCAATTGTTTTTGGATAGCGTGCATGACAGTGCAGGTCATCCACTGGAGCAGGCACCTTCAGACTAGGGGCTGCAAAAGCTCAATGCCTCCTTGCAGCAGAAGTTCCATGAGGAAATGTGACTTGATCTAATTTTGGAATCTGGAAAAAAGACAAACATCAGGAAGGAAGTTTAAAAATGTTTGGAAAAAAAGTCCTTTCAAAGAAAATGGAAACTCAAACCAGATAAATTCAAATAGCAATAAGTCAGTGTCAAACTGCTGTGATATGTGTCTGGAAACAGCACAAAAAGATTGCTTATCCCTCTCTGGAACATTTTAGACAGGGAGCAGGAAGCCACTACTATCTCTAGATGGATTTAGCCCAGTGGTTTCCTGTTGTCCCTTTATGTAGCAGTACTGCAGACCTCCATACATCCTCCCTTCAGTTTCAGACACTCCTATCTATACAACAATCTTTAAGATATAAGTCTGGAATACTCCAGACTCCACAGATGATCAAATATAACAGACAGGAGATCTGCTAAAAAAAAGACTCATAACAGAGGAAACTACTTTCATGTTTCTGGGATAAAGACACAACCCCCTAATTCCACATGAATTTTTCAGTACCGTGCATACTCTGCCAGCTAGCACAATCCTCTGTGGGTTTCTGCAGGGCTGCTCGGGCCAATAGGGAGTACTTGATAAAGCCTCACCCATACCTTCGTGGAAGATCAGGATCACCTCAGTCAGCTCTCCTGATTCACCTGGTAAATGCAGCCTCTGAGGGACTAGTTTGCTGAGTCAATTCATCCTTTAACTTGTTCAGTTTTTAGAATTCTTGGGTCACAGAGAAATGAAATTAAGACATTATTAGCTAACTCCCAGTTGTACAATCATTATGCACTAACGTGTTCTAATTTACATTACAGTGATTCTCAGATGGATAAATGGATGCACATTTGTCTCACAATGACCCCAGAGGGCAAAGGTTTCCTCCCATTTTCACTTTATTCTCCTCCTCTTCCTCCCTCCCACCCCTCTTTTTCTCTGACAGCTCTGTAAACAGTACAAAATTTATTTTGAGCCAGTAGAAAGGGGGTAAATGGACAGTAAGCAGGGCAAAGAGGGTTATCACCTCTCCCTTCACTCATCTCTCCTTTTCCTGCACAGCAGCAAGCCAAACTATAACAGTAAAGTCAGATGAAGGAAAAGGAACAACATAAAGCATTTGAAAAACATCCACTCTGAAAACTCTGGTTTTCAAGGAAAGGTGCTGAAATGTTAGAATTGGCAAACATAACTGAACAGAAAAGAATGCCAAGCAGTCTTTCTAAAATTAAAGAACACTGGCTCTAGGTTCTTCTCCCTCTATGTGCATGAGATAGGCACAAGGGTCAATGAGACTTCACCTATAAGGAGGGGGAAAAAAAATCCATACCCCAATGTTCTTCCAAACCGCCATTGCTAAACTTTAAGTACAACTTCTCCTATTAAGATATTCTATAAATTTCAGACATTTTTAGTACACCAACAGACAGTGTATCCTAAGACTCCTCTTCTGCTCTAATATGCCCCAGCGCTCTGCTGTGATCGATTCTGAATTCACAAAGTAAACAAGGCCCAGCTGGGTAAATAATGAGCACAGACAGCACTGTAGGAAGTGGTTATTTATCCTAAATCAACCCTCAAATGAACTCATACCCTCTTTCTTGGAATCAATGTAGTGCTGGAATTTCACATTTCAGCAATACAATCTGTGTCTTCACCACAAGTGCTAATTATAGAGAGCTCAGCTGCTGCTGCTTCTCTTTTTAAAGCAGTTTACCATTGTTCTCATACAGTCTAGCATTGTTAACTCACCTATGTTTTCAGCTGAGTAAAGTATCCCACACTTCCCGACCTGAGCTGCTACGCAGTACTGCTGTATGGTCTTTCAGGGAATGTAGTAGTGAAGCCCATCTGTAGTCATATTTCTGCATTGCCAAAGTTCTGTGCAACCATTGTGCAGTCAGTCTGTTAATTCTCCCTCTGACATGTGCATGTCAGTACTAAATCTCTGCATCTATAAAACACTTTGGAATCCCTGACAAAGGACGACTCTATGTCAAGGTCAGATTAGTGACTGTCTTCATGAGCAAAAACATCTTAGGAGAATTTAAACAAACATGCAAGTCCAGCATTCTGGAAATTCTCACAGCTGCTGTTTGCTACCTAAACTCTGCGCTGCTTAGTCATGTGTGTTCACATGATCTGCTAAGCTGGGAGCTGGGGGCTGTCTCTTGCTCTGGAACTTTTCCCTCTTGCACTTTAAGATCTGCCCAGCAATGCTTTTATTGTGTACTGATGAGTACATGAGCACGCATGTAAAGGGCATGTGATGGCAGTTGCTTCTAAAATGGTTTCCAACTACTCTGTAATTTATTACAATTTTGGGGGGTATTGAAATAAATTCATTAAAATTTCAGGACTTTTTTTTAAAACAAACAAAACAAAAACTAAAAGAAATGCTACTAAGACTGCACTTTGCCTTACAGGGCAACCACAGAGTAAATGAACCACATGTTCAATTTTCATTTTCGCTAGATATGAAAACATGTGTGCTAATTAGAGAGTATTTACATCAACTTTGCTTTCTCATGACTCAATACACAGAGCATACCTCATGTAGGCTGTAATGTTTTCAAGATTTATTTAAAATCTAGGACAGAATGGAATACTCATAACATTGCTCCAGGTTTCCCGTGAGTAAAAACAAAGCATTAACTCTCTGGAAAGACATGAAACTTACAAATTGAAACTGTCCAAGACCATAGTGATGAGAATTTAGAAATATTAGCAATAATTCCAAGAATAACATAACCCATCAAAGTCCATAGGTCAGTCAGCTTTCTATTTCTGTATTGTAGCAGGAACTGTGGCATCAGCATAGGGCATTACAGGGGGATTAATGACTAGCTGGAATTAATGGCCCTGGGCTATGCTTGCGGCAATCAACTCCCATCTACTCACTAATCTCAGGGGATACTCTAGTCAGTCTTCTTTGAAGCATTAGCATCCAGCTTTTTCATAAAATCCTTTCTGCACAGGATTTTTGTGCTTAAGATTATTTGGAGGACTTTATATACATATGTGAGTAAAAATACAGTGAATTAGGGAGAGTGGGGATGGAAAGCAGTATCAGTGCCTTCAAGACTATGTTCAATGGGAACGAATATTCTCAGATAACAAAGAATGCAAGTGGACTTGTATTTTTGATCACTTGCTCTCTGTATATTTGAAGTGAGAGCTATATTGTATTAACAGCTTTCTGTTAGTCTTCCAGTGCTCAAGCTTCTTCAGGAAGTCTGTGCTTCTTTGGCAACACCCCACACCACTACTGCTGCTATCACCACTGCTGTATAAATGTCACAGAATCTTTTGGATAGGTGCTAGACACTTTCAAAATTGGCTATAATGCATGTACAACAAAGGTAATAACCATTTTAGTCATCACTGCCATGAAGTTATTAGCACACTACAGATCTTAATAAAAAAAAAAGTGAAAACCACCGATGTATCACATGTTGCTTTAATCACTGGCACAGTCTCTCCTCAGTTATGCTTTTTTATTCCTCACCCAGAAAACGCCCTTTGCAAGCATTCACTGACTGCCTCTTGGCATAGACAACAAATACATTACAGACTTTCAGCAGTTACACTTGCTTAAAGTGTTGACTGTTCTTCTCAGGTGAGTTCACCAAAACTGCAAAAGACCCTTCAAACCAATTCTAGACCCTGGATATTCACTTCCTCAGAAAAGTATTGCTCTGAAGAATAATCCATTAAACTGAGATGCCATCTGGAATGTTGACATTTACCACAATGATAATTCTTGACATGACAAGCAACAAATGAAACTGAGACAGGTCTGACTGCTGAGCTCTATGTACTAACTCTCAGCAAGCTGAGCTCCACACTTATTCTATGAGTAGGCTATATATTAGTAGAGAATATTTGAATGTAAAGAACTCAGCAATCAGAAACACTGTTATCACATGGTATATAAAATAGGCTGTCTCACGTGTGTTTAAGTTTCCAGCTCGCTTTCTCAGTTATCAACTACTCCTGGTAAATTCTCCATCAAACACATGCAAGAGCTTTCCCACTGAAGCTTATATTGTCTGTGCACACATATCTAGATTAAAGAGGACAAAGTTTTCATTCCTGTAGCCAAAGGTTGAAAATTTTCATGATTACATTTAATTTTTTTAAGCTCCTGAAGAAGAATCTAACCCATGCTTGTGTGCTTCTTCAAAGACACAGATCGAGTAGCAGAACATGGTACTGGGTGTAACAGTTAATTGTATATATAGCAATACAGCAAAAGTAGTAAACAGACATAAATGAAACATAGCTGCCCACCTATTATTTCCGAATTGTCCACAGATTACTTTAATATTAAGGCATAGATCTGTACTGGGGTATCTCCCCACTGTAAAACTGAGCTGGCAATTTTATCACTGCTTATCATTGCCCTGGGGAAATTACGCTTCTGTGTGTAATTATCAGTTTTCCATAGCGTTTCACTGTCTGCAGATTTTGTTGTTGTAGTGATGGTGATGTTACTGGGATGGTTAACTTCCTTCCCCTCAAAAACAAATAAAAGCTGAAATGACAGAGTTTCTGGCAAGAGAATTTCTGGCAGAGGAAGCAAAGTAGGAAATGCAGCTCCTGATATAAAACAGCCCACTCTGTCTCATCTGAGAGAAGGTTTGCTGCCTGGGTATTTCTCAGATCTCTTTGCTGGATGAAAAATTGCCAGGGTTTAAAACATCTGAAGCTTTCCCGTTATGAGAATTATGTGCTTTACAGATCATGATAAATCCTGACTAAATATGAAAGTGTCAGTGTTTCAAACAGTTCCTTTCCTTTGGTGAGCTTACATATACAAAGCAATGACTGGACTTGGATTACAGGGTCCTTTTTCACTTGAACAAATTGAAAATATATGTATATATTGTGCAAGTACTGTTCAAGCACTGACAAAAATAGAGACACACCTCCCTGAAGGGATTGCTTAGTCCCTCAAGAATTTTGCATTATTCCTCACACCTTTCTTTCTGACTCCTTCCTTCCTCCCACCACTCATCATCTGTCCAAGGAAAATAATGCCAGGTTATTGAATGGCCTTGTTATCACAAGAAGTTGTTATGTTGGTAAGTTGAGAAATGGGGTCTGTATGGATTTGTGGTGACAAGTGCAAACTGAGTCTCCACTCTTTCTGCTGGGAAGTTCAGCTGGAGTCACTGAGGAACTACAATAAAGAGGCAGGAACATTGAGTTTTAAAAAGAGGATTTTCAGCCTAGTACTGCGACTGGAAACAAGGAACAACCACCCACACTGCTCCTTCAGCTCAAACTGGAAAGCTAATTGGGACATGGTCCAAGTGTAGTACCAGAAGTCACACTATACTTCTCCCATGGCCTTGATCTCTGTCACCTATGCTAAAGATGAATTCTACATTTTATTGCTCACTCTTCCTTTCAGTGATTGCTCCCTCCATCTTTTAGCTATTTGTTTAGATTTTCAGTGCATAAAAATCCTGGCATTGCCATTATGGGCTCTGAGCCATCTGAGCAATCTTCTTAAAATACACTAACACATCATCCATATGGTTATCCAATATGTAACTATTCACTTTCCAGGATAATAACAGAGAGGAACCAAAAATTGTTAAAAGCTTCACAAAATTTCACGAGACATTCTCACGCTAATTAGGAGTCTTATGATTTTAACTGAATAGCAGAGTTACAGACATCAGTCCCTTTTTGAACATATTTTCATTTTAAGTCTCCCTTAGACTTAAACAAGACTGAAAGATAAGACAAGTGGTTGTCCTAAGGAGCTATCTTGAGATCACCATTATGTGTGCCCCAGACGAGTCTGATACCATGCCGTTCACTGTGTTCTGGAAGAAATCCACTTCAGAGACATCATTTAGCAAGGCTGGGAAAGCTATCTGAAAGCTAGGAGAAATACCAAGGAAATTCCTTTCCAGGTATGATCTTCTTCCATAATAGCTTATAAATGTTCAATGGTTTTCAACACAGGTTCCAAGATTTGGTTACAGGACCCAATCAAGGTACAGTTTGTTTTTCTTGAAGGTGTAATTGATACTGATTTTTTCATATTCAATTTACATGTAAAATTCTCTTGCCCCTTCCAGAGATTCAGTGTTTCCCTAGAAGAAAATGGTACTTGGATAAGAGCTCACTTTGTTGAGATAGTTACCACATGTATTCTCTACGTAGCATGTGCAAGCTGTCTGAGGGCAAAGTCATTTATCACAATTTTCTAAGCCTACTTCAGGTGGTAACTGATGCTGTGAAAGTAGATGAGTTGTTCTGTGGCTACTTTATACACTGTAGCTTAAGAGTTAACATTTTATGCCAGACGTTGGTTGTGCTACAGAGTATTCCAGACAGCGGATGGATTAGTGATTATTGAACTCATGGAAGAAATCAATGAGCTTTTAGGCCTGCATGCGTAAAGCAAGATGGGAGCTTTTCTTTCATACTTCAAAGATCTACAATTCTTAGGTCTCTTGGGACAGTTGCGAAGTGGTGCCTCCTTTTATCAGAAGTGACTAGAGCCCAGAAAGGACAAGGGGGAGCTGGAAGAAGGAAAGCCATGTCACTCCTTGTCCTGGCCTGCAGAACTGGTAAATTTCAGGATGAGAATGCAACATATTCATTGCAACAATACAGCAGTACACTCTCTCATTCAGTATCACTGAACTCGAAGGGCTCCTTCTTGAGGCAATATAGCTTTCTTTAGCGACCATCACAGATATAGTAGAGGCCAGACTTCCAAATTCAAGTGGAAGATGTACTGTTTTGTAGACAAAAAACTAGAAGAAAAGCTATTTAATCAAAACAATTTGATCTCCTATGATTATATTCAGGTATTTTTCTCAAGACAGCCTTTCATTTGAGATACCACCACAGGGCTCACACTGCTTTAGGGTTTCAGGCCCTGCTGTGGTTATCTTGGTTAATGGGAACTTTCCCATTAAGCTCAATGGAAGCAAGAATATTTTGTATGTCATTTGCCTGAATATCGTAGGTATAAGCAAATTCAATATACATTCAATATGCATTGAATAATTGGCATCAGTGAGCCCCCTGCAGGGATAGTGT